CTATTCTATTCTATTCTATTCTATTCTATTAGATGTCAACTAATCCTTATAGCACCTCTTAAGTAATAGTATTTAGTATTTATTTTATTTGTCAATCGCTTACAAGATACAGGTATAAGAATAAATATAGTTTTGAATACATGAGATAGATACTTATAAGAAAAATAAAAAAACACAATAGGACAGGGATGGTAGGCACGATTGGTGCACTTATGCACGCCCCCTACAGGCCTCTTAGGAAGGGGGTGAGGTCAATAGTAGACAGTCTAAGGTTAAAGTTTTTGGGGTTTGGGGAAGAAACCACAAAGTCAGGTAGAGTATTCCAAACATTGACCACTCTGTTGCTGAAGTTGTATTTTCTGCAGTCAAGTTTGATGCAGTTAACCTTGAGTTTGTATCTATTGTATGCTCTTGTATTGTTATGATTAAAGCTGAAATATTCATTTGCAGGTAGGACATTGCAATGTATGATTTTATATACTACTGTATATTTAGATCAGACCGGAGGTGGCCTAGTTCTAAGTTTTCTAGATCTAGAGTTTCAAGTCTGGTGGCATAAGGTATTCTGCAATGAGTAGAGGAGCAGAGAACTCTTCTTGTGAAATATTTCTGGACTTTTTCAATTGTGTTAATATCAGATACGTAATGTGGGTTCCAGACTGATGAGCTGTATTCGAGTATTGGTCTAGCAAATGTTTTGTAAGTCTAGTTAGTAGTGTGATATTACCAGAGAAGAAGCTACGTAGGATTAGATTAACAACTCTTAATGCCTTTTTGGCTATGTAGTTACAGTGGGCTCTAGCACTTAGATCATTTGAGATGAGTACTCCAAGGTCCTTGACAAAGTTTGGATCCTCAACAAGGTCTTGACCATATAGCTTGTATTTTATTTTCTGATTTTTTCTGCCAGTATGTAAGACAGAGCATTTATTTGTTGAGATTTGAAGCTGCCATTTGTTTGACCATTCTGATACATAGTCAAGGTCTTTTTGAAGGGTAGCAGTGTGGTGTTGAATAGCTTTACATCATCAGCAAAGAGAATGCAGTTGCTCTTAATATGATCACAGAAGTCATTTGTGTAGAGTATGAAAAGAGTTGGTCCTAAAACACTGCCTTGGGGGACACCACTGTTGACAGGTACAGAATTTGATAGGACGCTCCCAATTTTGACCATTTGTTGTCTGTTTGATAGGAATGCTTCTATCCAGTTACATAGGTGTCCAGAGATACCATAAGACTTTAGTTTTAGTAGTAGTTTGTCGTGTACCACTGAATCAAAGGCTTTACAGAAGTCTATGTAGATTGCGTCTATTGCTTTGCCCTGATTGAGTTGTGTAGTCCATATGTTTTTGCAGTTTAAAAGTTGAAGATTACAGGATAGTTTTTTTCTGAAACCAAATTGTTTATTGGAGAGTAGGTTATTTGTCTCTAAGTGGAGGATAATGGATTGGTTAATAATTGATTCCATGACTTTATAGGTGATGCAGCATAAGGAGATTGGTTTGTAATTTTCAACTAGGCTGGGTAGTGCCATCAATCCTAAATCTCCTTTCAGATCATATTGAATTCAGCTCCTGTTCTCCCATATTCCAGGCTTTCCTATATCATAGATCGCAGCCTTTCATTAGCCAAGATCTCTGATAGCATTTATTAGCTTCAATTGAAGTATGTGGTAATAGATTAGTTGTTCTTAACCCATGGTCTGCAGATTCCTGCGGGAGCATAATGTCATCACACGGGGTCCGTGAAGGCTTAAAGAAATGTTATAATTTAAATCTTGAGATTTGGGCATCTGTGGCCACAAAAGATATTTACAGGGGGTGGGAAAAAAGTGGTGAAAAAAAGGTTGAGAACCACTGTAATCCTTTTTCATTCATTCAGCAACCTTGCTTTTGAATTCTTGGGGCTGAGTTTACCTGAAATCTGTGCCTGCTTCCATATCTGAATTGCTAGGTTGTTCTCATAGATGTCTTCATCTGTCAAAACTAGAGGAAAAAAATGTAAACAGCTGGTCATTATTTGTGAATTTTTAAATCTCACTTCATTATTGCTGTTCTTCCTGTTTTTGACATCCTCTCCATCCCTACAGGTGACTGGGACTTTAGCGGGTGAATATGTGGAACAGAGTGTCTTGGGCAAGGTGAAAAACGCTTAATATGGAATGTCTATGGAGATTCTCAATCATCCGGGTCCTGGTTTTCCCAGAGGTGCTTTTTCCCAAAAGGCAACTGGGCTGTCTTGGTTTTTTCCTTTGAAATTGTTTCACTTCTCATCCAAGAAGCTTCTTTAGTTCTTCTGAACTGAAGAAGCTTCTTGGACAAGAAGCAAACTTTATAGAAAAAAGAAAGTCCAGTTGTTTTCTCTTTTAAAATAGCATCTTTTGGGATGTTTAGCTTTGAGGTATATTATCATTAGATACAGATCTTCCTTGGAAAGTGCTTTCTGTAATAGAAACCAGAAGAAAAAACAGTCTCCCAATCTGGAGCAGGTTTTAAAGTATATGACTGGAATGTAAGACTGTGCATTCACATGACATTAGAGCAGATATCCGAGTTTATAATCATATTGGGCAACAGCAGTATACAATTGGGACAGATAACAATTTGACTTAATACAGGAAAAGAACATTATCCAAAGAACTTACATCTATTACTTTTGATTGTTCCAATCACATTTTGGTATCCATGGGAATAGAGTCGTGGTATTGCAGTGGTTAGAAAGCAGTATCACAGGCTAATTCTGCTGACTGCTAGCAGAAACAAATAGTCGTAAATTGAGGACTACCTGTACTTTTTTCCTAGGCCAGGTTTGGTTAACAAAAATAGAAAATAACTTGGTGTGATTGCTACACAGAAATTAGTAGTCCCAATAAAGGAGAATATTTGTAGCTCAGGGTTGAAATAAGGGATCCCTGCTACTCTCTGAGCTTGGTTGTTTCATTATCCAAACTAAGTAACTATTTACCCAAAATAGTGGATTATAGGTTATGAGTTACTTAACCTGTCTTGTCCACTTACCACTTGATAGTCTTGTGTCGTTTTGCCAATTGTAGTAATGATGTGGAGAGACGGGTTCACTAGAATAGAAAAGAGGTGAGAACAGAGAGTTGGAAAGAAATGGAATATCAATGGTTGATTTCTCATCCTGAATCAGAGCCAACCAAAGCAACGAACAAAATAAAAAAAAAGTAAAGGCAAATTGTAAATTACACCGCCTGCCATCACCTGGATACATTGCAACTCAACCTTTCAACATGTCCAGCCATCACTGCTGTTGGAAACACTGGAATTTACAGCTGCAACGTAGTCAAAGAGTCACAGATGACAGAAGGCTGAGCTAAGGTAAGAAAACCAATCTAATTTGAAAGCTGAGAAGCCAGTTTTAAAAGAGCTTTGACAGGCAACCCAATAGCTACACAACAGGAGCCAAAGCAAGACTTCATGATACAGGTGTTATTGCCAAGAAATTCTTTTCTACCTGTCCTCTCCAGATTGTGGTGCTCCATAGAATCATAAAGTTGGAAGGTGCCATCAAAATAATCAGAGCATCTATTTTTCCTTTTGGGGGGGGGACTGTTAAGTTATGAATTTTTATTGGATGCAAATTCTTAAATGATTTATTACAGTGGCTGATTTGTATATCTTGATAAATGTGCATAACAAATAAATACAGTTTTGTACTTGAAGAGAAACAAGTGAGGAAAGACTGCTATGAATTGGAGAATCTATCGGGCCAGAAGGAATAGAGCAGGAGAACAACTACTCTAAAAGCTGATTCTGGAAGAATTAGGAGGGCAACAACATCTTCAGCCCTCCAGTTGCAGCTGGGTAAACCAGCCTTGTTATATATTTTTGAATCTTCAATAAGGGAAATCCTCAGCACTTCTAATGGAGCAGCAGAGATTTGGAAGTCTTCTGCAGGAAATGGAGGATTCAATCAATCTCTCAAACACAGGTGGGCCAGGTAACTTTTGAGAAATGGTAGGAGGCTTGAGAGCACAAAGCAGCTGTACATTGTGGTGCTCCATAGAACCATAAAATTGGAAGGTGCCATCAAATTAACCCAAGCATCTCAGACAGACAATTGCCTAACTTCTGCTTGAAAACATCCAGTGAAGAAGCACCCGCTGCCTCTTTGCATCGTTTGTTCTGCAATCAAAGTGCTCTCTTGGCTTGGTTTTACACAGCCTTCCCCCAACCTGGTGCCAAATTGAATTAATGAATTCTGGAAGCTGAAGCTGAAACACACACACACACACACACAGAGAGAGAGAGAGAGAGAGGGAGGGAGGGAGGGAGGGAGGGAGGGAGGGGGAGAGAGAGAGAGAGAGAGAGAGAGAAGGAAGATGTCTGGCTAGAAAAGGATGCTTTGTTGGTACTGTGAGAGAATCAGAAAGCTTAGGAGATGGTTAAATTTAGTGATTCTCTTTCCTAATATTTCTTACAAGAATTCTGAGCGAGGATTTTTTGAGGCTCTACAATGAGAGTAACCACTCTAACAATACGACAAAACAAAAAGGGGATAGGAAGAAAAAAAGACAACAGTGACCTTATTTAAAAAATGATTATTCCAAGTTAAGTAGGAATACGATGCATCTTGATGTAGCAGAGCCTTCCAGATACATTGGATTATGAAATTAGAATTTGCAACCAGTGTAGCCATTGAGATTTCTAGCAAAGGCTACTTACAGAAGGAAAAACTGAGTTTAGGGGATTTTTGTACAACTTCCCTGTGATTTTGACATTCCCTCACCATTAAATTGAACCTGACCTTAACTTCAAGTTTGTTAAAGACTCTTTTACAGTAATATATAGGCTTGTTAATTCTTTACATAAATGACTGTATGAAGATGGACCACTGTTCTTGGACCACTGCCTTTGTACCTACAATGGTACAGTGGTCACCAGTAAAAATAAATTTATCTTTATGCTTAAAATGGCAAAGATTCTAACTAAAGACACCAAAGATTATATTGATAGAAAACTTACACATAAGTATAGTCGTCCTCTGTTTGAATCTCTGAAAAGACAGTGTGTGGATTAATACCCAGATCAGGTAGAAAAGTTGCTTGTGGTGTACAAGCTAAATCTGAACATCCAAGTGGCTGAAAATGGATTACAGGTAGTCCTCAATTTACAACAGTTCATTTAGTGACCATTCAAACAGCACTGAAAAATGTGACTTATGATTGTTTTTCACAGTAACTACCTTTGCAGCCTCCCTATGATCATGTGATCAAAATTCAAATGCTTGGCAACTGGTTCATATTTATGACCATTGTTGTGTCCCAGGTTGTGTGATCACCTTTTGCAACCTTTTGACAAGCAAGGTTAATGGGGAAGCCAGATTGACTTAACAACCGGGATACTAACTTAGCAACTGCAGTGTTTCACTTAACAACTGAGGCAAGAAAGATAGCAAAATGGGGCAAAACTCACCGAACAAATGTCTCACTTAACAACAGACATTTGGGGCTCAGTTGTGGTCAGTAAATCGAGGATTACCTGTAGAAGATCCAAATTTAAGCAAGCCAGAGAGACTTCAGTACCAGACATTTTTTAAAACAATCCATCAGCCAGTAAAATATAAAAACTGAAAGCTACACATTTAAAATCTTCTACAATAGTCCAGACCTCTGCCAGTGCAGAAATCAGTGGAAGAATATATCTGTAGCTCAAGACTGAACGATGGAGGTCTACTCTCTGAGCTTAGTTTACTTGCTTAGAAAGTAAGTAAGATTGCTTATTGTACCCTACGACTATCATTAAGTGTCGTACCTTATGATTCTCAGCTCTTGACGAATATATCTTTTCTTTTATATATACTGAGAGTATTTACACCAAGACAAATTCCTTCTGTGTCCAATCACACTTGGCCAATAAAGTATTCTATTCTAAAGATATTTACTTATTGCAGATATTTCATTACCTGACTAAGTAACCTCATCAGTGCCAGGGAGTGTGGGATTTGCTTCCTTATATTGGTAACTGTTCTGACCCAAACCCTTTCCCAATAAAACAAACACAAACCAAAGGGAACAGAAACCTTTTAATGATTCTTACGAATCCCCGATGAAAAGGCTGCCGCAAACTACCGTATTTATCGGCGTATAACACGCACTTTTTTCCCCCTGAAAATAGGGGGCAAATGATGTATGCGTGTTATACGCCGATATAATGTTAAGAAGCCAGCGGAGGCCGGGCGGTGCGAGCAGAGGGCAAGCGGAGGCCGGGCGGTGCGAGCGGAGGGCAAGCGGAGGCCGGGCGGTGCGAGCGGAGGCCGGGCGGTGCGAGCAGAGGGCAAGCGGAGGCCGGGCGGTGCGAGCGGAGGGCAAGCGGAGGCCGGGCGGTGCGAGCGGAGGGCAAGCGGAGGCCGGGCGGTGCGAGCGGAGGCCGGGCGGTGCGAGCGGAGGGCAAGCGGAGGCCGGGCGGTGCTTCAAAGTTTTTATTTAGAAATTTAAATTTTTTTCCTGAAATTTCCCTCTTAAAATGAAGATGCGTGTTATACGCCTGTGCGTGTTATACGCCGATAAATACGGTAGTTAACTTTGATAAGCACGACCCTCACCAAAACTGTGCGAGGCTGCCAAGAATGACAGGTAAGGTTACCTAGAAATATTTTACAACACAAAAGTCTTCAAATACCAACTAAGATACTCCAATGTCCATGAGGCTGGAGTTTCAAAACGTCTTTGCTTCCTACAAAGAACGTCCGATTCACAGCTGGCTTTTATTTTCTTAAAGGTGGGGCCATTACCTTGCAGCCTTACTCCTGAGTCGCCTGTGCTGCTGCAGCTGCTCTTTCCTGTGAGCAATCCTGCGTGCACGCGCACTTGGCACAGGCTCCTCGGGAACCTCCTCATCGCTGCTGCCCCCAAAATCTCTGAAGGCAGCAGTCCACTCCCTAATGGTCCTGGTCCCTCATCTGAGTCCTCACTCTCCTCAGCCATCCGCACCTGCTGCCAGCTAACTACAACAGTAGTCTTCGACTTACAGCCATTTGTTTAGTGGCCGTTTGAAGTTACAACAGCACTGAAAAAAATTGTGTTATCACTGGTCCTCACATTTACAACTGTTGTAGCCACCCCATGGTCACATGATCAAAATTTGGCTGCTTGGCAACCAACATGCACTTACAAACAGTTGCAGAGTCCCTGTGTCATGTGATCATTATTTGTGACCTTCCCAGCTGGCTTCCAACACGCAAAGTCGATGGGGAAGTCAGATTCACTTAATGACCTCATGATTGATTAGGACTCACCAGACAAATAATTAAGCAGAAAACAATACAATGAGCTTAGGTGGCACAGTGGTTAGAGTGCAGTACTGCAGGCTACTTCTGCTGATTGCCAGCTGCCTGAAATTTGGCAGTTCAAATCTCACCAGGCTCAAGGTTGACCCAGCCTTCCATCTTCCTGAGGTGGGTAAAATGAGGAGCCAGATTGTTGGGGGCAAAATGCTGACTCCATAAACTGCTTAGAAAGGGCTGTAAAGCACTGTGAAGCTGTATATAAGTCTAAGTGCTATTGCTAAGTGTTAATAATCAAGGAACTATCAAGGAGAAAACCATGCCACCACCAATACTGGCAAGGTAAGCAGTTTTAAATAAATAAAATAAAATTGTTTATAAATAATGATGTGGGAGCAAACCCCACACCATTCACACTGATGATGTTACCTAATCAGGTAATGAAATGTCTGTAAGCAAACAACCACGCTCAGAGAGCCCCAAGGGTTCCTCAGTTCAGCAATCCATTACAACAGCACCTTCAACCTCTGTTTAAACATCTCCAATGGTCAAAGACAGTCCATTACCTCATATTGCAGGTTGTTGCATAGCTCTTGTTTTGTTATGATATTTCCCTGGTACCCAAACTAAATCTATTTTGTAATTGAAACCTATTATTTCCTGAATGAATTGCTTTGTCTTCAGAAGTGGGCTTCAAAAATTTTAGCAAAGGGTTCTCTGCCCGGTTGTTGGGTGGGCGTGGCCATAGTGGGCATGGCCTAGTCGGCTTCCTGCACCATGACTGGGGGTGGGGTTCCCTCCCCGGGCTCCAGAGGTTTTCCTCAAGCCTCTGGGAGGGCAAAAACAACCTCCCTGGGGTTTGGAGGCTCTCTAGAAGCCAGAAACAGGCCCATTTCCGGCTCTCCTGAACTTCCATGAGGCCTGTTTTTCACCCTCCCCGAGTCTCTGCACACGCCCTGCACTTACCTGCATCCAAAACGGGCTGCATGGGGACTCCTGGCGGGGCGGGATGTGCAGGACCAGCCAGGATAGGGATTTGGGCAGGGGTGGGATTCTACCAGTTCGCACCTATTCGCTAGAACTGGTTGTTAACATTCTAAGCAGTTCAGAGAACCGGTTGTTAGAAGAAATTACTGGCCTAATCCTGTAAGGAAGGCAGGAAGGAAACATTCTGGTGTTGCTTACAGAAACTGCCTCTCCATTAACCCTTATTACATTCTTGGCAGGACTAGACTTCCTGTCTCTGGAACGTCTCATGGAGTTTTTTTCCCCTCCTTTGCTGATACTTTGCTTGTGTGGAGTGACCATTCAAAGTTACAATGGCACTGAAAAAAGTGACTTACGACCCTTCTTCACACTTACGACTCTTGCAGCATCCCCACAGTCACGAGAGGCCAGGCAAGGAGATGCGTGCCTCAATGTGAGTGATGTTGAGTTGGCCACACCCAGCCAATAACATGACCACCAAACCACGCCCACCACCTAAGCCACACCCACAGAACCGGTTGTTAAAAAATTTGAATCCCACCCCTGGATTTGGGGGTCCTCTGAACTGCACAGAATGTTAGCTAGGGGCCCCTGCGAACCCCCAGCATGTCTTCTACATGACAGCCCTTCAGATACTTGATAAGTAATGCCATGTCTCCCTACAGATTTCTCCTTCCACTAAAAATATCTAACCACTTCAAACTTTCCTCATAAGGTTTTTCCTTTCAGAATTAACAACAATATGTATTACTACGGCAGAGAATCTATGATATATTGCAATAATATCTTGTATTGTTTATATTCTGGCACTGCAGTGAATTCATTGGTGAACCAATGACTGCTGAGAAGGATAAAAGACAAGATAGATTTTATTTTATTTTCTGACTTAGTTTGTAATTTTGATTTTTATAGGGTTTTTAAAAAATTAAATATTGCTTTGTTACAAAAAAAGAGTTTTGATTTCCGATACTTTATCATCTATGCTGCTTTGTTCTAGACAGGCTCCAGTTTGTCATTGTCCTTCCTAAAATTTATTTTTTATTTTATTTTTTTTATTTTATTTTATTTGGTTTGTCAATTGCTTACAAGATAATAGGTATAAGTAAAAATATAGTTATGAATACATGGATACATATAAGAAAAGTTAAAAAAAATAAAAAGAAACAATAGGACAGGGACGGTAGGCATGTTGGTGCGCTTATGCATGCCCCCTACAGACCTCTTAGGAAAGGGATGAGGTCAATAATAGACAGTCTAAGGTTAAAGTTTTTGGGGTTTGGGGAAGAAACCACAGAGTCAGCTAGAGTATTCCAGACATTGACCACCCTGTTGCTGAAGTCGTATTTCCTGCAATCAAGTTTGGTGCAGTTAACCTTGAGTTTGTATCTACTGTTTGCTCTTGTATTGTTATGGTTGAAGCTGAAGTATTCATTGACAGGTAGGACATTGCAATGTATGATTTTATATACTATACTTAGATCGGACTGAAGGCGGCGTAGTTCTAGGTTTTCTAGGTCTAGAATTTCGAGTCTGGTGGCATAAGGTATTCTGCAACGAGTAGAGGAGTGGAGAACTCTTCTTGTGAAATATTTCTCGACTTTCTCGACTATGTTAATATCAGATACGTAATGTGGGTTCCAGACTGATGAGCTGTATTCGAGTATTGGTCTAGCAAATGTTTTGTATGCTCTAGTTAGTAGTGTAATATTACCAGAGAAAAAGCTACATAAGATTAGGTTAACAACTCTTAATGCCTTTTTGGCTATGTAGTTACAGTGGGCTCTAGCACTTAAGTCATTAGAGATGAGTACTCCAAGATCCTTGACAGAGTTTGGATCATCAAGAAGGTCTTGACTATGCAGTACCTAGAGACGGATGTAATATTCTAGATACAAAACAAAGAGTAATGATGCTTTTCTGGTAAGGAAGAATTGCTAGAATTCACCTAGAAGGCTTTGGGAGAAATATAGGACGTTGGACATAAGTGAAACTTTGCCTTCATGATGTGCCCAAGTTAAACAATCAAAGTAGAAATATACTGAAGCAAATGCTCAGCTATGCTGGGCTCCCATGTCAAAGATATTTCTATACTTAAGTGATTACTCAGTCATTCTTGGTTTGTTTGCCCAGAAGTTGGACTCTTACCTGTTTTTACATTTTGAAATCTGGACTTGTTGCAGGTTTCTGAAAAATGAAAAGTAGAGACCATTAATTATATGTGATTGGGGTTAAGTCTTTGATGGCATCATGAAAAATATAATGGAGGCTGAATCCAAAATTTCTTTGCTAGAGTGATAAACTGATCCTGTAAACCTACAGCAGAAGTTTCTACCCTTTACTGCTTAATCTTTGAAATATTGCTGTTCGGCTCCAATAACCAAGAAAACCATATAGCAATAGTACTTAGACTTATATACTGCTTCATAGTGCTTTATAGCCCTCTCTAAGCAGTTTACAGAGTGAGCCTATTGCCGCCATCAATCTGGGTTCTCATTTTACCCACCTCAGAAGGATGGAAGCCTAAGTCAACCTTGAGCTGGTGAGAATCGAACTGCCAAATTGCTGGCAGGCAGCAGGCAGCAGAAGTAGCCTGCAGTACTGCATTCTAACCACTGCACCATCATGGCTCATAGATTTACTTCTAAGCAGTTTCCTCACCTATATAGAGAGAAATCTTGCCGAACTAAAACAACTACTTGCATCATTAAAAATATACTGTGAGAATTTCTAGGGAGGAGCAGTTTTAACTTCTTTCTCCCTATCAAAGTATCTAAACTTCTCTGTCTCTCGGTCCTGTGGAATGTAGCCCATCTCTCCTGGAAATCCAGACTACCTTCCAGCACATTTGCAAAGGCCATTTTCCTAGGAAGTTACTTCTGATACTAATTCCTTCTTTGATAATAAATATAGAGGCAGTGGAAGATCTGCTTTATATGTGAATAATATAAAAGTTACTTCTCTCCCTAGATACAGTAAAGAAGGGATCCCGAATCTGGGATCTACAAACTGCAGTTGGCACTGCTTGATGCTATTTTTCCTATTTGATTTTCAATATTTTTATGCATACAAATGGGTTTGTATGTGGGTGTATGTGTGTATTATTTATACTATACTGCAATCAATTAGACACTTGGCAGCTGTATATATGTAAAAATATATGATTAGGGGAACCTGGCATGTTGCAAAAATTTGTTTGCCTCAGAATTCACACAACTAAAATAAAAACCAGTTAGAACTTCAATTTCACCACCCCAGCCATGAACTTTATTTATTTTTTAACCATACCCTGCCACCTTTGATGTTTATTCATGAAAATGCTTCTAGGTCATAAATATGAAGAAGAAAGTGGCTGATTTTTTAAAAACAAGTGCTTTGTTGGAATGCCCAGAGGAAAAAGAGAAAGGAAAGTTAGAAAAAAATGACAGTACAGAGGTAAGGTAGGGAGAAATGAATTATAATATAAGCAGTGAGACTTAGATAGCTCCAAAGTCCATGGCTCAACTGTAAGCATTTTGGGGGGAAAATCACAAGGACATCAGGTGCATCAGGTGGCACAATGGTTAGAGTGCAGTACTGCAGGCTACCTCTGCTGACTGCTGGATGACTGCAATCTGACAGTTCAAGTCTCACCAGCTCAAGGTTGACTGGTGGGTAAAATGAGGACCCAGATTGTTGGGGGCAATAGGCTGACTCTGTAAACCACTTAAGAAAGGGCTGTAAAGCTCCAGGAAGTGGTATATAAATCTAAGTGCTATTGCTATTGCTAAAGTCCAAAAGTTGGGTCAGATCTGCATTCTTGCTAAACTCTGTACAAAAAATATCTATTTTACAAAAGATAAAATTGGAACTGCTGCATCCATGGATATCATAAATGGAAGAAGCAGTAGGAGCAAGCACCATGCCATCATCACACACAGTGCAAATTACACAATTGGCATCATTTGCATAATATCATGATAGCAATAGCACTTAGACTTATATACTGCTTTACAGTGCTTGTGATGACCCGTAGTCTCTCAAAATAACCCCAAACCCAAAACATACATTAAAGTCCAGTAATGCCTTCAACTTAACTTCACTGTTTTATTAGGCACAGTTTAAAGTCACAAAAGTAAATAATGAGGCAAAAAGAAAACCAAAACAAACCACATTGACGAGAGTTCCGAAGCAAGCCAAGATAATTAATCATACATTCCAGGAAGATAACTGAGGAGAGTCCATGGGAAGAATGCCAGCAAAGATAAACCTCTTTCAAAGAAAACACTAAACTTTGACTCCAGCAATTCTGACTGTGCACTTAGAAACATATACATAGCTCCCAGCTGCAAGCCACGAGGAGGATCATGGTAATCTCCTCCTGAGTAGACCTCGCTTTTCCCTGATCCTCTCCTCCCTGCATGACCTAGGATGGATAGGGGATTGGCCTGGAGCCTCCTCTGATTGCTCAGCCGGCCTCTGCCCTTCCCCAGCCTCCTCCACCACCTCTGGAGCCACACTCCCACTCCCTGTTGGCTGTTCCTCCACTAGGGGCATGACAATGCTTTATAGTCCCCTCTAAGTGGTTTACAGAGTCAGCATCTTGCCCACAACAATTGGGGTCCTCATTTTACCCACCTTGGACGGATGGAAGGCTGAGTCAACCCTGAGCTGGTCAGGATCGAACTGCTGGCAGTGAGCAGTGAATTAGCTTGCAGTACTGCATTCTCACCACTTCGCCACCACAGCTCCCTTAATCAAGAAATGGTCAGAACTATACATACCAAAGTCATTAAAGCTGGAGAGTTTTCTGCTTTTGCTAAAAAGAAAGATAGATTTAGAAATGAAACCATGACTGTTGCTCAACAGAAGTTTTAAAAAAAGCAGTAGGCAAGATCTGCCAAACTTTATCTAGAGACTTATCAGGAGGTAAAGAACCAACTCCCTATTTGTGGGTTGAAGTGGTAGAATGGCACTTATAGAAGATTCTGAATGAAGCAGTCGTTCACCCCTTTTAATCTGGGTTCAGATCAGGGTATAAGAAGGAAAATACATTGATCACTCTTATGGATGACCCAGTCAAGAGAAGGAACACATTCTCTCTAGTTCTATTGGATCACATTTGCATCCAGTATCTATGTGAGGGTTGGATTTTCAGTCTTTGGCTGCTCACACATCAAAAAAGGAAAATGTAGTCTAGCTGCTAGAAATGCTCTGTCTCTGCTTTAGCATTTTATTTCTATCTCTGTCTAACACAGTACAAAAAAGAAGCAAAAAGAATCACATATTTGACTGATACTCTTTGGAAATCCAAGGTCCAGCTAGGAACCTAGCAATTATCCAAATAACATCTTAAGATATAACATAGGCCCAGCAAGGGTTCCCCCCCCCCCCGCAAATTTACATTTGTTATAGCCACAATATCATTATTGTAAAAAATCACATGTTTTTCTCCTTAGAGCAGCTATAATTACAGCAATGACTTTGTAAAATCTTTTCTATATTCTATTTTTATTTCAATATTTCATGATTTTTCCCAATTCAGTTTTATTGATTCTGCTCTCACTGATAATTATTATTATTTGCTAACTGCTCTGGATGTTTAACCAAGAAGTAGGACCCTCACCTCCCAAAATAATCAAACCCCTTCTCCTCAAATTATATTGGATGAACTGCAGAATATTTGACTTCTATAAATTTGAGGGCACCAAAATATTCCATGGCCATTGCCCAAGTTACCTTTGTTCTGATGTATGGTATGTCTCTTTCATCTGTGACTGTTTTGACATGGAACCTGAGAAAAGAAATATTTTTGTAAATATTTTAGTCCAGGAAGTAGATTTTAAATTCCAACTGTTCAGCTTCTGCTATAAGAGAAATGAGGCAAATTATAATCCAAAAAGATTGGTTCACTTAAGTACAGTATTGGTCTGGGTACATGCTTGATGCAGAACCAAGTCATATCTGTTACACAGGGGTGTCAAAGTTGATTTCATTGAGGCTGCATCAGGGTTGTGGTTTAACCTTGGGGGTGGGGGCATGGCCAGGGTGGATGTGGCCAGCTCGACATCACTTGTGTCGGGGGCATCTGTGGTAGCCAAGGGCTAAGGCAGGACTTCCCTCAGACCCTCCCTCCCTCTCATTATAATCTTCCTTCCTTCCTTCCTTCCTTCCTTCCTTCCTTCCTTCCTTCCTTCCTTCCTTCCTTGTCCTTTCTTCTTCCATCCCATCTTTTCTTTTTTTTCCCTTCCTTGCTCTCTTCTCATCTTTCCTTCTCTCCCTTTCTCCTTTCCTCTTTCCTCTTCTCATTTCCTGTCCCTTCTTGCATGCTCAAATGCAAAAGGGAAAAACATTTCTCCTTTTGTTTGGTTTTTAGTTTGTTTTGCTAGCCCTCTACCAGCGAAAATGGAGCTGGCAGGGGGCTGCAGGAGGCTGTCATGGCCAAAAACAGGGTCCATTTTGCTGGCAAAGGCACCGCAGGCCAGTCCTTCCCTGTTTCCAGAGTGGCCCACAGGCTAGTTTATAAGCACCCTATGGGCCCACGGGCCTTGAGTTTGACACCCCTATTGTGACAGATACAAACCTTCCTCCCTTCCACCAAGATCCCGTCTGCATACTATGTGTCTTTCTCAGTCTCTGGTTTGATCCAATAGATCCTTAATACAGAGAGGGATCAAAGATTCATGGAATTCCAGCTGGTTCTTTCTGCTTGTAACTGGTTCCTCAGATCAGGCCTTCACGGTTATTTCTGGGCTTGACTTCCCCTGATGGCTGGGCTGGGCTGTGCATTACTTTCTGGCCACAACTCCATTTTCTACTTGACCACAAAGCTTCTTCTGCTATTTGCAAAATAAAACTGCGGCTGAGAGCATACTTACTCGCCTCCTCTAAGATGGGGTGGAGGAGAGAAAAGATCATAGACACTTACTTAAATAGGAACGTTCACAATCCTGTTGGTTTTCACACCTGGAAAAAAAATCAGGGAAAATATTTTTAATGCCTTGGAATCAAAGTAAGAAAGTCTTAATAAACAAGGAATTTAGCAATACTATTTTTGTGAGGTTGCCTATGAAGAGAACCTGGGAGGATAACATCCCATTGAATCCTACGTCATGAGGATCTTATCGTTCCTAGCCATGAATTGAGCATTTACTGCCTCTTACAGGTAGTCCTTGTTTAGCAACTGCCTCTTTTAGTGTTTTCTGTTCAGACTTCCAGGGTTTCTCATGTCCCCCAAAGTCCAGAGTAAGTTTATTATTTAACAGCTAAGACAAACTGAAGAGGGATTAACTTACAGTGCAGCAGAAATGCCAAGGAAGATTCTTTTTGTTCAAAAGATGCAATGGGAATGATGAGCGCTAGTAAATTGTAAGATAAAAAGAGTTGTGGTTTTCAGCTGCACACAGGGGCTGTTGATGTTTACATTTTCCAGTGGAGAAGTCCCAGGTTAGATCTTTGGATCAGTGTCTATGGAGATTCTCAGTTATCCAGGTCATGGTTGTCTCAAAGGTGCTTTTTCAAAAGGCAGCTGGACTTTCTTTATTTTTCCTTGATGATATTTCGCTTCACAGAACTGAAGAAGCTTCTTGGATGAGAAAGGAAATATCTTCAAGAAAAAACAAGTAAAGTCCAGTTTCCTGTTGAAAAAGCACCTTTGGAACTCTTTGGATTGGGCTGCCAACCAAGCTTGGTCAAATGCAAAAGGATTTAAAAGTTCTAACAGGAAAACAGACGGGACAATTGATGCTAAATTTGAGGGAGGACAGACTAGAAAGTCTAATGTGACATAAGCAGGATAACTCAGTGCATTTGGGTCTGACCACTCCTCTTTGCAACACCCTCTTTTCCCTTTCCCTCCTCACTCGGAGTATTTGAAATTAGATTGAGGTGCTACAAGTTGCTCACCTCCAGTTCAGAGAGAATAGCCTTAAATCAGATAAGTTTTTTTACATTTCTATAGATCAAATACTCATATTGTGGCTCTCCATGTTTTTAGAACCTTTCTAATCTTCTAACTGTAGCTGTAAAATTTGACCTCCTGCACTTGGGCCATATACTATCAGCAAGAGGTATAGAATAATGGAGTTCTTAGTGTTTGCTGAGCTTGTTTGCTTGAAGACATCTCAGTACCTAACTAGGTAACATCATCAGTGTAAGTGAGTGTTGGGTTTCTTTATATCCAGTAGTTTACCCTGCCATTTAGGTGAGAGTATGGTTTCCTCCTTGATGGTTCATTCATCATCTTGTTTTCTGCCTGTTTCTCTGGTATTAATCCCTGCTTAGTGAAGAGAGATGTTCTAATCTTTTTGCTTCCTTCCTGGTTTTTTTGTTGCCTCTTTTGAATGGTGTGTAAATGTGTTGTTTTTTTCTTTCTGTGTGGCCACTGATAGCTGATTTGTCCGAATGCCGAGTTTTCCAGTACAAGCTAGTCCTCAACTTACTGTACAATCAGAATTTATGTTGCTAAGCAAGACACTTGTTAAATTAGTTTTATCCCATTTTATAACCATTCTTGCCACAGTTGTTAAGTGAATCACTGTTAAATTAGCAACATAGTTGTTAAGTGGGTCTGGATTTCCCATTGACTTTGCTTGTCAGAAGGTGATCGCATGATCCCTGGACACTGCAACTCTCATAAATACATGCCATTTGCCAAGCGTCCAAACTTTGATCACCTGACCATGGGATATTGCAGCAGTCATAAGTGTAAAAACAGTCATAAGCTACTTTTTTCAATACCGTTGTAACTTGACTAAGTGGATGGATATAAGTTGAGGATGTGTACTTTTGTATCTGGCTACGTCTAAGATGCCAATAGTTTCCCAATAGAACTTCTGGTTGACTCTCTCCATATGTTGTGAGATGGAGTTATTATCATGTCTTCTGATGGCTGGTTGGTGTTCATGGATATGCTTTGCACTGTTGTTTTTTTATTGGTCTCTTATTGATGAATGTATCTTTTCTTTTTTGTACACTGAGAGCATTTGCACCAAGACAAATTCCTTGTGTGTCCAACCACATTTGGCCAATAAAGAATTCTATTCTATTTCTATTTCTATTTCTATTATTTCTATTTCTATTTCTATTTCTATTTCTATTTCTATTCCTATTCCTATTCCTATTCCTATTCCTATTCTATTCTATTCTATTCTATTCTATTCTATTCTATTATTCTATTCTATTCTATTCTATTCTATATTAAAGTGTTGAGTACCCCCAAAGCTCTAACTGCTTTGTGATTCATCTCATTCCATTGGGACTGCAATCCAGGAAGGACACAGAAAAAGATTCCTACTTACTGAGTTCTCTGGTTGTCCACATTTGCCTTCTCCTGTTTACTCCCTGAAGATGGAGAAGAAGAAAAATCAGGAGAGAGTTTTAAGAGTTAAATGTAATTATAAGGGGGGAAAAAGCAGGAATAACCACTAAAAAAGTAATAGGGGGATATGAAAAAGGAAGAGTAATTCAATTCAAGTATATTTACAGAGTTGGGAGCTGGAGAAGATCATCATACCATTTTATAGATGGGCGAAACGTTGCTTGAACATCCGTGCTTTTGTAACACGGCTTTGTGAACATATGCACAGAAATTTGAATTCTTACCCCCTGCTTTGTCTTCATACGAGATTACTGTGATCTCTACCATGTATAAGAGATTGGTTGCAATTTATTATTATTATTATTCCCTATGAACAAATATTTGGGCGGCGCGGTGGGTCAGCAGTTAAAGACAATGGGCTTGTCAGCTGGAAAGCCAGCAGTCCATGTTTGAGACCTGAGCTCCATGTGATAGGGTGAGCTCCCATTCTCACCCTCAGCTCCTGCCAATCTAGCAGTTTGAAAGCATGCAAATACAAATAGATAAATAGGTAACACTATGGCGGGAAGGTAACAGTGCTCCATAACGTCATGTTGGCCACATGATTGCAGAAATGTCTTTGGACAGCACTGGCTCAATGGCCTTGAAACTGAGATGAGCAGCGCCCCCTATAGTTGGCAATGACTAGCGGAGTAAAATTTGCAGGGACTCCTTTACTTTACTTTTATGAACAAATACATGGCATTTGAGCTATCGAATCAGAGGTGGTATTCAGCAGGTTCTGACCAGTTCTGGAGAACCAGTAGCGGAAATTTTGAGTAGTTCAGAGAACCAGCAAATACCACCTCTGACTGGAGACTTTACAGTATCCTTCCCCTGCCACGCCCACCAAGCCACGCCCACAGAACCAGTAGTAAAAAAATTTTTGAATCCCACCACTGCATCGAATTATGTTTTATCTGGGTTTCAGATCTCAGCTAATCAAAGAAGACCTTACCAGTCTGTTGGCATTTCATGCACATGCTGATAAGGGCCCCCAGAATCATCAAGGAGAAGGCACCCCAAATCAGCTCCACTTGACCCATAGCTTGGTGTTACTGTAGTTCCAGCCTTAAAAAGACAAAAGTAACATAGATGAGACAAGGAAGGTAAGGAACACTGTTGAGGTAATTCCCCGTTAGGAGAATGAGCGCATACAGGGAGACATATAGAGAGTAGTGTTTGAATAATACACACACAGCACACAGATACACTGTACAGTAAATGTAGGTTTTTACTTCCAGAAAGGTTTAAGCAAAGTCCAAAATAAGCAGTCCAAAGTCATTCACAGGCAAATCAGTCAGTTTTTCAATCCAGGGATAATCCAAATATCAAATTCCAGTGTCAAAAACAGTTCAGTATCAGACTTACATTAAATCCAGTAATATCAGTCAATTAGAAGAAATGGAGCAACGGCAATACTTTCCAACAGAAGGAAACAGAGATACACTCAGACTCTCTTCTGAGACTCAGACTAAACAACCTAGGTTTCTGGCTCCATCTTATGGCTGTTTGAGAAACCACACCCAATTGCAGTTTTTGCAATCTCTTAAAGACATAGTACTAAAATGTCTATCCTGGCTTATATATTTCTAACCCAAATACCTGTTAGGTGACTTATATTCCTAACAAACACAATCTTTAATCACTTTGTAGTACAGGAGCCTTAATTCAAAAATAGGGGAAGAATCAGCAGATATGGTGAGGGAGTAACTCTAGCTCTTTCCTTATATGTTTATTGCTAGATTTATATCTTGTCTTTCCTCTGGAGCTCAACAGGTTATACATAGAATATCCTTCCCCCAGGTTCCTTCCAGATGCAATTCAAAGTACTAGTTGTCACCTTTGATGCCATGCATAGATTTGGGGATGGGGCATTGGCAAGATGGAAAGCAATCAGAGAGTGATCTGATCATAACAAAGGACTGAAGATAACGTTCTTCCACAGAACATGTTGCACCAAACTGCTCCCACCAAAACCAGATCTAATGTTTCATCTTAGTATGTATCAAGTCTTGGATGACTTGGATCAAGTCTATGATTGTCACAGTGTCCATGAACTTCTCAGAGTCCCAGACTCTGTTTTCTGGGGCAGACTGAAGTCACAAAGAATTATAAGTGTTGGTGATTCCACTCTCAACCCTGCCACAAAATCAAGTAGAGGTGTCACTGCACAATGGGAGGCTGGTACAGCAGCAACAAACCCAACTGCTATCTAAAGTCCAACTTCAGCTAAGAAGACTTAGCATCTGGCTACCTGTAATATAGGACCTCTGAAACAGAGGTGGTATTCAGCAGGTTCTGACCAGTTCTGGAGAACTGGTAGCGGAAATTTGGAGTAGTTCGGAGAACCGGCAAATACCACCTCTGATTGGCCTCGCCCCCATCTATTCTCTGCCTCCCGAGTCCCAGCTGATTGGCTTGGTCTTCTTTTGTTGCCCTGCACAGGAGAACGGAGCTGGAAAGCGGGTTAGTGGGGTGGGGAGGGAATGGGGATTTGGCAGTATCCTTCTCCCAGGAGTGGGGAAGGAATGGAGATTTTACAGTGTTCTTCCCCTGCCATGCCCACCAACCCAAGCCCAACCCACGCCATTCCCACCAAGCCATGCCCACAGAAACAGTAGTAAAATTTTTTGAATCCCACCACTGCTCTGAAAGCTGTTAAGGCTTTCCATTCAAATCTTTTGGCCACAATAAATGGAGCATATGCTATCCCCACCTCCCATTCCCTGATGATATCAATCTGAAACTCAGATAGACTAACCTAAAGAGGGAAACCCTTTTCTCTGACCCCCTCAGGTTTTTTACATGAAGGATGAAGGAGAAGTTGTAGCTCTGCTTGCTGTAGATCAGGGGTGTCAAACTCACGTCGTCACGGCGGCATCATGTGACGTAATGGGACTTTTTCCCCCTTCGCTAAATTGGGTGGGTGCAGGCCCAGCCCGTGACGCATCCAGCCCGCTGGCTGCGAGTTTGACATCCCTGCTGTAGATAAAGGAGATTATGTTTTTTTCTCTCCAAACTTTGCCTTTGACCAGATGTTGGGTGAGAGGTTTCTTTATAAAATTGGTCCAGAGGTCAAATTGGAGCCCAGCAACAGCTGTACTTGAGTTTCTAGATCTTATAAATAGCCTGGTGCTGAACCTCTAGTGTTAGAAGATTTCAATGGCTATGTCCTTGGTATGGAATCTGGGTAGGTTCATGATTTTATGGCCTCCATGGACTTGTTTCAGGCAGTATTGTACCCTTGGTATAAAGGCACACAGATCTGGCTTTCATCTGAGAGAAGACGGTAGGTGATGTGAAGATGGACATTGTGTTCACTCCTTTATCATGGTCAGATCACTTGCTGGTCAGCATATTTGACATCTGCAGGAATGGGAATCATTAGGATATTCTCCCCAGCATAATTGCTCCTTTGAGTTTTTGGGTGATTGGGCAGGCACTGTCACCATTTATCTTATCGGAGGCCACAAGGACATTGAATGAGATGATTCTCAAATGCTTGACCTCTGGCTGCCTGGTTTATGAAGAAACTCCATTCTATGAAGAGTGACAGAAGAGTCTTTTAGATCAATAATGGTAGAAACTGAAAAAAGGATGTGACTGAACTCAACTATACGTCAATGTTTAAGAAACTATGGTGGTAAAAAAGAGGGAAGTGGGATTACTTCTCCACTTGTATTACTTTCCCAAGTTCATTTGAGGGAAGTTTAAAATCTCTGCTTTTCTATTGTAAACCATTTGGAATATTTTTGATTGGGCAATGTATGCATTAGTGCAATAACTAAATAAATATTATTCTATATTGTGCTTAAATGTTATATTGGTTTTGTGAAGCTAAAGGATGTATGTTATGAGATACTGTAGTTATGTAATGATAGTAAATATTAAAACTAATTGGGATAATGGAAGTACAAATTATGCTTCAGTGCCAAATTAAAGCTATTATGGACATTGTGGGAAATTAAAATAAGCCAAACTAACTGGACAATTAGAGAGGGAAAATCCAATAGATCTGGAAGGCTGAGGAAAGAAGCAATCAAGTTAGTCTGTTGCGAAGGGTCATGCAAATCTTTGATAAATGCTGATTTGAATCAGTTTTCCAAAGTGAACAGGTGAACTGAATTGAATACATTCAGATTGATGACAGTCCCGATTGTTTAGAAAATCCATCTTCCCACTTATCCCAGTCTAATTATTTAATTTGGTACAGAATGAGCCGCTAAAACAGGATTTTTAAATTTGTTTATCAATTCTCAAGTTTTCTACCTAGGAGCCCATCAAATATTTGGGGTGAATTCCCAGGATTCTTAATAAGTCTACACATTAAGAATGTGCCCAGGTTGATTTAGTTTGATATTATTGATGCTGACTGACAACACTTTCAGAGGTTTTAAGCAGGAGGTTTTCAGCCATATTTAGATATGGAAACTTCTGCAGTCAACATTCATGCTTTACAAATGATCCATAGCTTCTGCCCAGCATCTCAAGGGAAACAAAGGGAGTCGGAAACAAAGAATCATACCTAGTGAGGAAGAAAATCTAGGGACTTTGGTCTGGAAATTGTGCAACTCATGATCAGGGTGGGCAACTAGAAACCGTTCCCATTGCAAATAAAGACAACCAGCCCAATCATTGTGGTTTTTTGGAGGCGGGCAATTGCAGACATTTGTCCAGGTAGTTGCCAGGAGTCAACAATGATTCAAAGGAGACCTGTCCCCCAAATTCCCACAGCCCATCCAAAGTAAAGTTCAGTATTTAAATTATGATCAGATTGATCAATTTTTATCTTGCAAGATCATTTTAAAAAGCAGTTAAATATAGGCTTAAAAATTATTATTTTTTAAACAAATTTTATTAATTTTACAGACAAACAAAATATCATTAAACATTAAAGACATTGAACCTCTTTCCATTATAAATTTTACAAGGCAAATAAAACATTGTTTTATACAATACAATTCTAATATATCCCATTTCCACTTAAGTATTTTTTTTAGCAAATTTCTCATTATTTCTCTTTACTCTTATTCAATTACATTTCTTCTATATTTATCCATTTTATACTCATCATATTCATATTTCCCTCTGCCTTGTTTACAAATATTCCTCTCGCTTTCTCCCAAGGTTTTATTAAATCTCAATCAGACATACACACACAAAACACAAAAACATAAAACTTCTTTTTAAAAAGTAGCTTGGCCCCGGATTACCTCTCTTTGTATGGACTTCAATTAAATTCATGTTCAGCTTATATGCCATTACCTATCTTATTACCCTTCTATACCTTTATTATAACTTCTCCCCGCTTTCCACTCTTCTTAATTCTATTTTATTTATTTCATCTTAATTTAAATCATTATATTTGTATCTTTTGTCCATTCTTTTCAATTATCCATTTATCTCATTCATATTAGAAAAGAAAATATTTCTCCTGAAATCACTAATCGAAGTATGATGCCTTTCCATCGCTCCCCTACATTAACATCTAATTCCCTATCTAATTCTGCTTAGTACATTCTACTTACTAAAATAGTAAATCCATAAAGTAATTAAATATATAATTAAACATTAAATCTCATAGCATTCCAATTATCTATTTCAAAAACAAATACCATAATAATAAGTTCATACGGACATCCACACAATAGTCAATTAAACTCTATACTTAAACTAAATGTTTTAGACATTCCTTTTAATATTTTATTAAATCTTAAAATCTATCATTATAAAACCTTTAATATTTTAATCTTTACTTAAGCCTTATAAAATTCTAATTTTCTAATTCTCATACAAATACTACAATACTATCATGTACCTTGCAGAAACATTTTGCAACAAAGTTATGCATTACCCATTATCCATAAAAAAAGATTTCTTCTCCACACCTTATTTCATACCTTTTTGGCTTTTTCCCCCCTTCTTCCTTCCTATCTTATCCCATCTGGTCTTTTTACCCCCCTTCGCTCCCCCCCTCTGTTGCATTTCTCTTTTCTCTTGCTTTCTAACAATATATTGATTTTGCATCTTATTTTTCTCTTTCTTGGATGTTTTTTTAAATCTTATGTCCTTTTAGACTCATTAAAGATGTCTTCTTCTTCTTCTTCTTCTTCTTCTTCTTCTTCTTCTTCTTCTTC